CTTAAATTTATTTTGGGCTACCAAAAACTGAAGAGTCCCTGCCCGAAGGGCTACCAGGGATTTTGAAATTTTGCGAGCCCTGCTCTTGTTTGTAGTGCTCCCAAAGTATTTTCATGTATTTAATAAAATCGATATTTGATGTCCCTGCATTGACATAGTATTGCCACCAAAAAGTCTCACTGAACATATTGTAATGTTCACTTTGAAGTTATTGCCCACATTAAAGTTGGAAAGAGGATGGGCAGCTTGCTAGCTTTGGAGCAATGCTAGCTTTGCAGTGTGCTCCACTGGTTTCCAGTCAGATCCACCCTGGATTTTTTTTAATATCCACTTTTAAAACACCAAGACAGTCGGCTTGAGACGTCACGTAGGGAACCCAGTCAGTGTTGTCACAGGTCTGCACTGGTGCCCTTTGAGAACCAGCCCACATTATGTCAGTTCTGAGAACTGATTGTTATGTAGCCACAGTAGCAGAGGTCGAATTCCTCAGAGAAAAAAGTCACAGCGGGCTCTCAGCTATATCTTAAGCCTAACTTGGACAGTGAGAGGAAACGTTAGCCTTCACACAGACAAAGTCCACTCAGAGATTCACTGCCCAGCAGGTTCGAACCCAGGCTCACACGTCGGGCAGATAAATTCTGTCTCCCTGTACTGAAAGTGAAGATGTGGCTAAACAGCTTGTTAACAAAGTGCCTGACGTCATTGTGTTTCTGTTGCTTTGATTTTTGGTTTTCCAACAATTTCTTTGATGGCAGCTGAAAAACAGGAGCATGTTGTTAATATATAACGCTAGTGGTGCAACAGATCAAATATCTCACAGATCAGATCAATTTTCGGATCAGCAAAAATGAGAAAAAAAAAAGACAAAAATTTGACTCGCCATTTACTCATTTAAGTATTTTTTGCCTATTAAAAAACATTAAATTCAAGACTCATTCCACGCACTTATATAAAAATAAATTAAGGTGCAATATGGACATTATGGACCATGCTGGGCATCCTCTGCACACGGTCATAAACAACCAGAGGAGTCTGTTCAGTGACAGGTTGCTTCTCCCAAAGTCAAGAACCAGCAGACTTAAAAACTCCTTTGTCCCACACGCCATCAAACTGGGAGGGGAAACGGGGACAGAGGAGGGGGGAACAAGTAAGCTGTAGTGCCTTTTCACTGTGCAATAGTTTTTGTTAATATCCAACGGTGTAATAGACTCACAATACTTGAAATGTGCCGATCCCTTGTATTCTTATTCCTGTTTATACTGTTTATCCCCTTTGTATTCTCTGTATTTATATATGTGTAAATATGGTATATTTCTGCTCACATTCTGCAACTTCTGTTGCAGAATTTCCTGGAGGAACCCACCCGAGGGATAAATAAAGTTTCATCTAATCTTATGTAATCTATAGGGCAGGGCTTTGTATCTACCACTCCGCTGTGATATAACAACGATATAATAACGGTCACGTAGCTTTCCGTTGCCCTGGAGGTCCACCCATTTGTAGTTAGGGCAGCAGAAGATGTCTGTGACAGTTCAGCCATAACTTTAAACTTTTCCTGCTCACACATGCTTGGAGCGATCTTGTCACTGAAGTGGACGCACAACAGGATATCATAGCGTGGCTCAAGCACGTTCATCACAGTTTAAACCCCTTGTTTTGCACAACAGAATACGGCCTCCCGTCTGCAGCTAAACACCCCAATACCCTCTGTAATAGCTTTAGCCCGGTCGGACTGGGCAGCAAAGGGCTGCTTAAATACCGCAAACTCCTCTGCTCCTCCACTCTACCGCTTGACAGACTGACCACCATACACATTTTTTTTTCTTTCTTCTTTTTCGAATCTTCGGATCACGTGCGTGCCGAACCGTGGAGTGGGATCGGTTCGGATTACGGATCAACCGTGATCCGTTGCACCACTATATAACGCTAAGAAAGCATTCCACAAACATCCCAGCCAGCATGACTGGAGGGAGGGTGGTCTAGTTTATTATTTATTTATTTTTAGTTTTTAGTTCTTTCCATCACAGTTTAGTATTTTTAGAAGAGTAGCTGTGCCAGTTGGAGAAAAACAAACTGTTACTACTTCCTTTTACGTAGAAGTCAGGACCCTTTTTGATGAGCGCTTTAGGACAAAATCCACTCAGTCAGCGTTCCCACTCCATCGTTTCAGGCTTTGACGACTCTGTTTCTCGTCGTTTCCTCAGAGTGCTGGTTGCACGTGTGAGAGGTTTATAAACCTAGCTTGCTTCTTGTCTTTGTCTTCATTTTTCCTTCCCATCAGTCTTCAGCCTGTTTTGAATTTATCCCCTCTTTCCATTTTCCTCCGAAATAAAGGACTTTTGTGCTGGGTCTTGAGTGTTTTCCGAGGTCTTTCTTCTTTCCATGTGTATGCCAATGCAAATATGTCACATTTTTTACAGGGATATTTTCTCCTCTTGCAGAACTTTAAGGCTGGAGCCAGGGGTCTCTGCTTTTACCCATTAAATGTGTCTGTCATGCTTTTCCTCTGTCTGTCTTCGAAGGGAACAGCAGCCATGGACTGAGGAAAAACGGCCGGGGTTTAGATTAATATCACAACTCAACAGGTGACCCCTTGACCCCATCCCTCTCTTTCTCAGTCTTTTTCCCCTCTTTCGCTCGGCCTGCCTTATCCCTCGCTTACAGTGGCAAACAATTCTGTTCTTTGTCTTTTTGCAATCAGTCTTGTCTACATCGTGTCCTGGTTTCTATCTGTTGTAAATCTCTGCCTGATTTGTAACATCTCAATAATCCCCTTCTTCTTTCTTCCTTTGAAGCACTGGAATAGAGGACCCGAGTCTCAGCTCCAGAGTCTTATCACTCATTTCTTTGTAGCTTTCCACTCCTGTTTTCAGTCTGTAACATTAGGTACTCACTAACCAGCTTTAGGACTCTTTGCAGTCTAACATCAAGGTCCCTTACTCACATTTTCTGACTCTCAGCCTTTTTACATCATCTCTGAAATGTTGTATTGTCTTTGGGTTCTCTGATTTTTCTGGAGTCAATTTGTGTTGGCGGCAGTTGCAGGAAAAGGTTGAGAACATGTTGGAATTAAAGCGAGTTCTGCATTGATTACTCATAAAATGTGGTCTGATCTTAATCTCTTTCACAGCTCTGGACCAACACAATGTGATCAAAGCAATAACAAACCAACAGCTGCACTGTACTCGATTGTTGCGGGGAGCAGCGGCTTCCTTAGCACCATTCTTCTTTACTGTTTGTCTGATTGGATTTCTTATTATAAGAGAACAGGATTAAAAACACACAAGTGGAATATGTAGAAAAGAATAAAATGGCACACATTGGAAAGTGCTTGAGTGCTTTCTACAAGTATTACCTCGCTGTGACCGTTGGCTTCTGTGAAACACCGAGTTGCAGCTCTCGAGGTACAGACTGGATGGGATATATGAAATATCTGCGCACATACACTCGTAAAATGGCACCAGATCAATTTTATACCATCTCCAATGTGGCGTTCCCATCTTCATTCAGTATGATATTTTTCCATAACCAACTTTGAGTATCAGCCTCCAGGTCATCACCACGGAGAATAGTTTGTCTAAAATACACATTTTTAGGTTTGCACCAGCGGATTATCAGAAAACAGTGTTTCTGTTACTATGACAACAACATTAAATTGGATCAATCAGTCAATCAACTTGTTTTTCTTTGGGGTTTTTTGGCAGATTGATCACGACGTGTTGGCAATCCGTCTGCATTTGTAAATGAGATGGCAGTTTTTTTGCACACCTTCACCAGTCTGAGAATAACTGTAACCAGCTGAAGCTGGATCACGATTGTTTGGAGACAGGTTGCCTCCCATTATGAGATTTGTGCGATTGCCTTGTGAATAAAAATGGTTGTCCAGACTGTGACACACTCTGTCTATGAATGAACACTTGGTTGCTGCAGTTGACCGCCAAATATGGAAATAAATTGCAAATATCCCAGTAGCAAGGACGTTGAAGTTTGTTTTTTAACGTATAAAAATGAGGACACTTACTCAATACTTTGATTTTATTTTAATTTTGTAAGTAAAAGGCAGCTTCAATGAGTCAGTTAACTGTAATAATGTCAGCTGTGAAAGGGTTTAAATCTGACTTAAAGACTGAACACACGACCACATTTGATGAGTACTGAGTGCAGAAGTCTGGATCTCCTACAACAGGGGAAAAATGAAAATGACATGTCTGAATTTTAAATGCTTTGAAGATAATTCAATGTTTTATTTTATTTTTTTCTAAATTTGCAATCAAAATGTTTGTAAATGCACCTGTTTGCTATGAATGGGGGCAGATCACAGAGTCTCCACCCTGTGCTTGTTTAACTGTTGTTTAAAGGCTATTTCCTAACTTAGAATGTATTACTGTGTGTAATGTGAATGTGTGTGTGAATGGGTGGATGACTGGATGTGTAAAGCACTTTGGGGTCCTTAGGGACCAGTAAAGTGCTATACAAATACAGGCCATTTACCATAAAGTCAGTGATCATTAGGACTGGGCGATATGACCCAAAATTCATATCTCGATGGCGATATACGATATATATCTCTCCATATTTCTTAAAGCCATAAAGTAAGAACAAAGAGAGAGCTCTTAGTCAAAGCTGTGTCCCAGATCTCACACAGACACTTTTATTAACATACAGCGCAAATGTACGTGCAAAAATTACTCAGAAATAAATTATCAGCATTTAATAATAATGCTCCATAAATAAAATAAACCAATGTTGTTTTTGTGCATAACAAAAAGCTCACAATTGTGCAGTCAAAATGTAAACTAAGAGATGCTGAGCATAATAACAAAGACAGATTTCACAGTTGCTCTGTTCCCAACTTCTACTGCGTGACTGACAGCCTGGAGTTTGAAATCCTCTTTGTAACCGTGTCTCTGAACAGGTGCCATTTATGGTCCTTATACACACACGGTACGGTAATATTACGTTGAAGCACAGTACTGTCACTCCGCGAGGCTCCTGCCTACGATAGCCGTAATGCTCCGACAATCCATCAAGCGGTGCGGCCTTGTAGCTTAGCAAAGTAAACGAAAACATTTTTCACAGAATTTTGAGCGCCATGTACCACAGAAAATCGGTCCGATATCAGTGAGCACAACCAGAATTCATACATAAGGCGTGCTGTCAATTTTTGAGAAAATTAAAGGACTTTAGGGCATGCAGCCCCCGTGCGTGGGGCTCCATGGCGTTAGCGCGTTAAAGCATTGCCGCCGTGCAGCCCCACGCACGGGGCGATCCGCGGTAACTCGTTAACGGAGATTTGCCACGTTAACGTCATTTTAATGAGATTAACGCTGCCAGGACTAAAGTAGTAATTTCCAAATGTTTTGTTTTTACCGACCAGCTCCTCTTTGATAGCTGCGTGTCCATCTAGTCGTTGCCTGCAGGTGAAGCGATGGGGGAGGCGGAGTAACGCAGCGTAGAGACAAAAGTGGACAAGAAGCAAACTTATAATCATAACGTGACATAGACGCTATCGATATAAACGATATTGTCACATCTCTTATCTCGTATAAAAATATATCGATGTATTGAAAAACTCGATGTATCGCCCAGCCCTAGTCATCATTATAATTGGCACAGTGAAGAAAATGGTCATTTTGATGTGTCTCTGTTATTTTATTTCAAACCACAGCACAGATTTATATTTACAGCCAAAGTGTGTAGATGCATTAGCTTCATTTCGATGTGCTCAATAATCAAACGTACTCGCCTGCCTCAGCCTACAGTAATGGATGGTACAAAGCAGACTTGGAATAAAATCTGGCAGCTTTAAAAGCTTAAACTGGATCAAGTATAAATGGTAAATGGCCTGTATTTGTATAACGCTTTACTAGTCCCTAATGACCCCAAAGCGCTCTACACATCCAGTCACCCACCCATTCACACACACATTCACAGTATAAGTGTGATTACAACACTTTTCTACATTGTGATGCACAAAAGCAGCTATTTAGGCTTAATGGAGCGCACTAAAGAAAGCTCTCAGCTGAAGCGCTGCAAGACGAAGATGCTGTGTGTGGGCTGGCTCATGTGTGTATGTTCAGAGATTGCTTCAAGTGAAAGGTGAACATATGTGTGTGAAATGTTGGATTGGGCATCTACCGCCAAGAAAAGCGCAGCTTCAAATCAAATAATCAGATGAAATTGGATTGTTATAACATTCATATTAATCTTAACCATTGCATGGAGTTCCCTGTGTCTCGTTCAGGGTTTAAGGTGATTATGTTACGATGTCCTGCTAAAGATTGAGCTGAGTGCTGTGAGGGTGTTTATGTGTAAGGTCAGCGGGAGCCTGCAGATGAATGTGGCCCATGTGCAGCCAGAGCAGGAATGATTCACTGACCTTACAGCCCTCAGAAACCTTCTGCCTCTGTCCAGGGTGCTGGAATACACACCATAATTTCTTCCTCCTCCTCTTCCTCCTACACAGAACCAACTCAGACTCTGCTCTTCATACAAGTGCTATGAACCCAAACCCTCAGGACCCATTTGGAATGCACCAGCAGATGGGTAGAGGACCCCCACAGCGCAATGGTGAGAGTATCATACGCAAACTCATTCAGAGAGCACTTTCTATGCGTCCCTTTTGACAGTGTTTCGTGTTGTAAGTTAGAATTTGACTTAAGAAGACCTGCAATTCATCTCCATCATTAAGACATGCCTTTAAGTTGCAAAATTAAAAAGACATTTGGAGTTTAAAGTAGTCTTATTCCTGTAAATATTACCTATGTTCACAGCAGTTACTTTGCTCTTATTGGCCATCAAAGAACCTGACATCATCAGGCCTCAGTTTGCCTGAAGAGAGACGCAAACAAACCAGAAAATGTCTCCTCTTCACTCCGTGGGTTTTGTGCGTCTGTGCTTCACCGTGAGTTTGTAACTTCTGTGCAGAGTGAGTCACCCGATTCACTTTAAGCTACAAGCAAACAAGATGGTGTTGCATTTGGTTGCACAGGTGTGATATGGAAGTACAGTGCTTAACAAATTTATGAGACCGTCTGTTGTAAAAATAGGAAAACACACTTTTGGAAAATATGTTTAAAACAAAATAATTTCCTTAACTCAATACACATGTTTAACAACATTATATTCTAGTATTAAAATATCATTTCGATGAAAGAACTTGCACATGCAGATGGTTTAACCATGACACAAACATAAAAATGGTTTTGTTGATTAGCAGTACTGTTCTGTTACGGTACCTGTGGTGTAAACCTGGACTAATACATTTGTTAAACTCTCTGTTTGAACATCTTTAAACTTCCCAGCTTTGTGTCTTAAAACACATACTCAGGCTCATTTGAAGCCACGGTCTCCCCCACCAGCTAATTTTAGTTCAAGCAGAATTTGTGAATTAACGTCTAACACAGCGCTGCTAAACAGGCCGGATTAGCATAATCCCACAACAGCTGAAAAGTGCCACAGGAAGTGGAAGGTTTTGCAGGTGATCTAAGAGTAAATCACCAATTTATGAGAAAAGACGTGACCGAGTCATTTCAGTAATGAGCAACACGGACAAAACTAACGACCGAGGAGAGGGGGCAGAAGGAGAATCGCTGTGTTTTTGGGTAAAATCTTCTGTCAGCCACTGAGAAATGCTGTTCTCCAAATCCTGACAGCTGAGATGGAGTGCAGGATTCATCCAGAGTGAGGCTGCTTTATATTCCCAACCAGAGGGCGGGATGTAAACCTGGAATCTGTCTTTAACAGCTGACCTGTCGGATGTGTAGAAAAACACAGAGCATTAGTCAGATTCTGACCGACTGTGTTTAAATGACTTGAGAAGTACACACTGTTGCCTATATGCGCCCCCTCTCTCTGACCTTTCAAATCAGCTCGGATGCATTAAAACAGCAGTGTTGAGGAGCAGAAATATGCAGGGCTTGGTTCAGAGGGAGCAGTCGTTAAAGACTGAAGGAATGGATCTTACAGCCTTGTGCTTGTTCTAACAATGATTGCTGCAATGACGGACACGGGGCTAAATGATGCCACAAACAGCAGCAGTGACCTCGTCCTCCTGCAAATCTGAGCAAGTCAGAAAGTCCAAGCTGAATTAATCAGCAGGTTCCATCGCTAACCTGTTTGTGTGCCTGCTTTTTGGTGCCAACAGAGGTTTTTATTCTGCCCTGAGCCACTTAATCAGGTCCTAAATCTAACAGGAACCATCACATGAAAGAATCTGAGGAATAACAGTGTGAAACACTCCACCAAAAGGCCAGGAAACAGTCCAGCGAGACTAATTACAACCCACTCGTGGATTTAGCCTCAAAAACTTAGCCAATGTGTTACACTTCAGAGTAGAAAGCTGGATCACTGCAATACAGAGCTGATGTGTTTTAGTCTATAGAGTAAGCAGACCGCTCCTATACTGGGCTCATTTCATTGTAATCATGCTAGTTTATGATGTTTGTGTTTCTGTTCCCCTGGTCATTTATTAACAGAGAACACAGTCCAACCAGCTGCATTTCAGGCCAGTAAGCCACTCTAGGCTCAGTTACACAACTCACCATCAGCCCTTTGTGGTTTAAAACAGTCTGTTTATACGTCTGTAGCTGAGCCAAAGAGAGAGAGTCGACTCAGAGTCAAAGAGCTGATCGTCCTCCTCTCTGCACTTGTTAGTCCTTCACTTTGTGCTTCTTTGTTATCTCAGTGCTGATGAAGTGTGGAACAGAAGTGCTCCTGCAGTGGATTCCTACTCCTTCTGTTTAGACAACACATTCAAACAGGATATTGCCTCAAGATCTAACCCAAGAAAGAGCTTCATTTATGCACACAGGGTTGCTTTTGCCTGTATGTTAGTTCCAGCTCGCATGCACTGATGGGAGTGGCTACCCGTGGATCCTAGATGGACGTAGCCACTGTGACCCATTAGTTTTTGTGTTTATAGCATATTGGCCGTTGATCAGTGGGTGGAGTACTGAGTTACCAACTGTTGTTAGCAAACTGCATCCATGAAGTGGACACACAGCACACTGAGTAAAATATTACAGCCTTACGCACCAAACCTGAAGCACAGACTTCTTGGATGGTCTGTGCTGCATTTCAGCTGTAACGTTTGCTCGTCTGTTAACGTGCTCCAAAATGCACAAACAGCACCCCAGAGGTCCAGTTCAGCGACTCCAGTTAATGGAGGTGAGGCCCAGCATGCAGCTATGGGACTACAGCTGTCAGCACACCCCGTACTTAAACAAAATCCAAACAGGTGTGCTATGAAGGGAGAAATTACCCAAGAAGACCAAAATAGCTAGGCGGTAATTTTTTTTTTTTTTTTTAATAATGAAAAAAAAAAGAGGTATTTAAAATGAAACCTTAACATTAAAGCCTCATTTGGCCATTAGAGGAGCTGCAGCTTGAGACTCCATCAGTCAGAAGGTTTCTTTAGTCTCCCATCATTGGAATTGTTAAGAGGCTCAAACCACTGAAGGATTTATGTCTATAAATGAATGTGTAGTTATGATAATGTCCGTTGACAATAGTTTAAGTAGTTAAACTTTATTCGGTGCATTTATGTCAAACTGATAAATCATTAACTGTATCTGCAAAGAGCTAATTCTGTTTCTCCAACATGAACTAAGAAGTCTGCAGTGCAGTCTGCGCTCACAGCCTGTTGTAAATGTAAAATACATGTTGCACATGACCCACAGGCTCTGTGTCGTTTCCTCTGAAAGAGGCCTTGAGATGGAGCAGCCTGGTGTCACGGCCTCCTGCACGAGCGCACAGAGCTGTGAGGCTCCAGGGCCTCGTTGACACCTCTCAAGGCTTCGGCGGACTTAGAGTGGTGTTAAGCCCTGGCTGATTAAAGAAGCATCTAACTAGAAATTACAGCTATGAGTCACACTGGAGGAATAGGTGGAAACACTTTGGACAGATCAGTTCAGCTGCAGTCTCTAATCGTGAGATTTCGTTTCTGTTGTTGTCAGTAGAAAAGGAGCAGTCTGTGCAGCTGACAGGGCTCTGATTGCTGCTATGCTGTGGCAGTAGACACTAGTGTTTTTTCTTAATCCTGAGCATTTACAACACCCATACTGAGAGCATTGCACGGCCTGATCCGAGCCAGGGACACCAGCCCAACCATTTTCCATGCCAGTTGTCCCGTTTCCGTCCTAGTTGCAGCATTGAGCTACGGGGACTCGACAACCTTTAAAGGGGAAATGTAGCGATGCCAGACGCTTGTCTTGTCTCATTGCTCCATCTGAATGCTGTCTCTCAATTTGAATGGGCCTCAGAGAGAATGAGAGCACGGAAGGAGTCGGGCTGTGGAGATCCTGAAAAGTCTTTGGAAACATCTGTCCTCAAAGCAAATTACAATTATACTTTAAAGGTTTTATTGGATTTATGCTTCACACTACATGCACTGATATGGTCTAAATCCAATGAAACCAAAACACTTCTGACTTGTTCCAAAGGTTGATTCTGGACGTTTTCAGTGGGAGAAACGTTTCATCATCAGGTGACTTCTTCAGTCTCAGCTGACTGCAGGTTTCCCCAACATGATAAACACTACGTTTGCACAATGACTGAAAGTAGCACCACTGAGGGAACGATGGAGGTCAGTTCCTTGATCATTAATATGCAGATTATTATAGCCATTGATCAACAACCACCGATCAACGTCCATGAGTACCTGAGACCTGGGCTGCAATCACAGCATTATAAGCCTGTGAAAGATGAGTGACAAACACTTCTCCCACTCCCACTATGTCCAGATGAACAGAATCAACCTTTAGGGATTTACTTCAATCAATCAATCAAAATGTATTTATATAGCACATTTTTAAGACCGAAGTACACCAAAGTTCTTTCCATTAAAATCGCAGTACAAATAAAATCACAATAAAATATAAATTACAAATATATAAAATAAGATAATTACATAATCTAAATACAGAGCCAGATGTAAATTACCCTAATTCGCCTTAAATGCCAGATCAAACAAATAAGTTTTTAAACATGATTTAAAAGACTGAATCGAATCTGACGCACGAATATGAAGAGGAAGAGTATTCCATAGCCTGGGTGCAGCAACGGCAAAGGCACGGTCTCCTCTGGTCTTCAGCCGAGACCTAGGTTGCACCAAGAGCAGTTGGCCCGATGATCTTAGTACTTACCTGGATGATTGAGCACTTCTAACCTGTGGTCACAGGTTTGTGGAGCCTTTGTGTTCTGTGGATTTCAGATGCTGCCTCCATGTATTAGACCAGTGCATCCCATTGGAAGCTGGTGCAGTTTGGAGGCAAAGTCAGTGCCTTGGGCTCTTGATTGTGTTGCTTGAGCTCTGCCTGAGCAGTTGCTCTGGTGTAGTGGGGGGCATAAACCTGCCGGGGCGAGCCGGCTTCAATTTGGGAAGTGTCTGTGCCAAAGTAGCATTGACATGAATTCCAGATTTTCAGCCCTTAAACTTCTATAATAGCAGTCGTAAAAAAATGACCTAAACTCAAGTTTGATGCATGATGAGCTCTGAAGGAGAAAACGAGAGAAACAAAAACGATTTTCCTAATAAGCAACAGAAGTGTTTCACAGGAAGTGGTGTTGCCCACACGATGACTTGGGCAGAGAAAAGAGAAACGCTGGGTGGACGAGACACAGGCATGTGGATCTGCTGTTAAGTCTGGAGGAGTAGAAAGCATCTTTGAGGCATGAGAAAACAACAGTCGTCTCCCAACTTTTCTTCGCCCTCTCTGATTAATAACACGATGCCAGATGCCCAGCTGTTGTTGTTGAAACTGCACAGTAATTGCAGAATGCCAGAGGGCCTGTTACTGTCAGAGAGGCTAATGAGAGCATCAGGCGTGCTGGGATTATTCAAACAGCTGGTTAATATAGAATATCCTCTAACGTTCCTCCGCCTTTGTTTTCTGTGTCTTTCTTCGTCGATCACGCCACTCGCACTCTGCTTCCTGTTTGTTTGCTTCTGATGGAGGCTGGTGTGCAGCGAGTGTAAATGAGGCCGAGGTGGACGGCTCAGGAGACGGTGAGTTGCACCACATTGCACCATATTATACTTGACATTAGGAAACATGTGTGAATGAACGTGCACCTTTCTCTCTGCAGTCTTCTCCTTCCCCACCATCCCTAACGAGGAGAACCTCATAGGTGTCAGTAAGCCGCTACCCAAGCAGCTGTGGCAGGCCAAGAAGGTGAGAAGTTTGCTCTCTTTTTACATCACTGACCACAGGCTGGCTTCATCCCTGCACATCTGGTTGCATTCTTTCTATGCTGATAGAAACAAACTTGAAAATGGGACCAACAGCATTTGTCTGTGGCAGCGTAGGCGATCGTGACACCGTGGATTCCTGCTGTGGCTCAGGAGAGACTGCAGGCCAAACCAGTCCTTCCTGTCTGATCGTTAGCACCCAGAAATGTGAGAGGCAAATATACGGAATCGGGAATGTTGAAATTCACAAAGGAACAAGAAATGATTTAAATACACAGAGAGTATGGTGGTCTTTCTAACCCCTCGAGTCACCAGCTGCACATTTGCACATAACAGTTGCATGCGTGACATTTACTTTTGCACACTGTGTGTGTTTTAAACGTGGACCTTCAGTCAGAACACTGTCTGTCTGATCACAGCATTCTCAAATGTTATGACCACCCATTGCTCAGTGATTAATGTCCCCATTCTTTTTGCTCAATTCTTGGTATTCAGGGGGATTTCTGCTCATTATTGGATGAATACGCTGTGCTGATGCAAAGAGCCGCTCTCAGCACAGATGCTCTGGTTTTGATGCCTGAGCGATCCTTATTTTACTGCTTTTATTCTCTAAGTGTTTGTTGAAATCATTTCTCTGGAATAGCAACATGTGCACGAGCAATAAGCGGTAGTAGAAAAGTGAAATAATGGTGAGCGTTTTCTGCTGCCTGGCGGTAGTGTTCGTGTTTTTAACTTGTGCACATGCATGTGTGTTTAAGTGTTCATCATTTCCAAGATGCAGTTTCTAAACAAAGTTCTTCATCGCTGCTCGTCAAGTGCAGCCTATAAATGGTTTGATGCTCCCTTTGGTGGTGCACGGCCCACAGAGTGGCTGGGAAGTAAAGAAGCCACAGTTTAGCACATCTTGACACCGCTGCAGGACTTTTTCTCCTCTTCCTCTCTCTCATGGCAGTTCTGTTTCAACCTCTAATTGAAGCTGTAAATGCTGTGAACATGCTCTGACATGAACGGGAGGCTCCAACATCTCCATGTTGTTAACATTTTAAATGTTGCCTAATTGCTGATCTTTCATGCTCAGTCAAACGCGCACCGCGTGGCCTAGCCCTGACTGCAGTCACTGGCTGCTGTTGCGTTGCCTTTTTTTTTAGCACACTAGGTTGTCTTTGATGCAACCTTGAAATAATTTTAGCATAAAATCAAAATGCAGAATTGTTGTTTCAAGAAGTGTAAATGCATGTTCAGGGTTTTCGTTGCTTTATGTCTCAGTTATGTTTTGCGTGTATCATAGTTTTCCTGTTTCTGTTTCAGGTCCAGTCTCTGGCCTCAAGGCCTAAATCCTGTGAAGTGCCTGGAATCAAGTGAGTCTGAGCAGGGTCACTGTGTGTGTTTTCTGCTGTTTCCCTGTGGTCATAACTGACCTGCTGTGGGTGTTTTCCATGGGCAGTAACAACTGCAGCTGATCTAAGGAAACAAAGGAATGCTAGAAATGAAATGCCACGCATTCCCACTGCTTCAAACAGGACGTCCTTTACACCTTTAACCTTTAGAAGTAAGAGGAAGAGTGTTGTTACGACAATCACATGCCATTGGCATTGTTTAACCGTGTTTTGTTGACACTATTTTCCTTCCACCACAAACGACCTCCGGTGTCGTGAATCTCCATTTTTGCCAGGAATGTATTAGCAGCAGCCTTGTGGTACCGTGTGAGACAGCTCTGACCTATAGCTTCTCTTTTCATGATACAGAATGCAGTAACAGCTTCTGCAGAGCGTTCATAGACTTGCCCCAGTTGAACATGGAAATAAGAAAGGCAGAACACTGAGTACCAGGTGCCGAGCTGCTCTGTTTATGGAGGCGAGCATTTGCTTTATAGTCTGGGGACAGACGAGGCACAGTTGCTGCCCATATGCTATTATTTGGAAATAATTGAAGAAGCAGAGAGTGGGTGGGGAACAGAAGAGAGTGCTTTTCAATTAGTCGCGTTCGTTACTTTAATCCGAATGGTTTGTGGTCAGCGGCGCGGTGTTGAATCAGTGTTCTGTCTGCCTTTCCTACAGCATATTCCCGTCTCCAGAGCAGAACCCCGGGCTGTCCCACTACCAGGGCTCGTTGAGTACCGGGGGCTCCCTGCCAGACCTCAGCAACCTGCAGTTTCCCTCCCCGCTCTCCACGCCGCTGGACCCTGACGACAACATCGGGTACCCCAACATCAGCGGGGGCAGCAGCACCGGAAACCTGCCAGCTGCAATGATGCACCTGGGCATCGGCAACTCACAAGGTTGTGTGTGTGTGTGTGTGTGTGTGTGCAGGGGTGGATCTAGAGAAATTTTCTTAGGGTGGCATGAGGGTGACAAAGAAATCAAATGGGGTGGCAAAATCAAACCCCCTTTTTTCCCCCAAACACATATGCAGGTGGTTAAATATGGTTAAAATGATTCAAATGCAGTAAGAATACATGTTTTTCATATAAATATAGTCTACAACTTAATTATTGTCTGTAGCCCACATAATTACACACTTTAGTTACATAAAACATGTGAGTTTTGATGTTATGTACCGTATAACCTGTATAATAAATAAATATGCAGCCCAATAAGTATAAAAAGCTACACAACATGGGGCGGTTCATTTACAAACACAAGTCTGACTTAAGTTTCACACTGTTTTTTGTCAGAAAACAATCACATTGTTACATGTTAAATTACACAAAATGTCAGAAATCTGCACTGTCATGAACAAAAATTTAAACCTAATTTTTCATGATTTGTTGGATTAACCCTCTGAGGTCTGAAATACAACCGGCCATTTTTGACTCCTTTTGAGTTTACGTTTGTATTTCACCCTCAGATTGTTTCATTTTATTTTTCCCCTTTGCCTGGTTTGGTTTCATTCTTTTCAGCTCAACAGCATGTAGTTGTTTTTTTACTGACATACTGCATTAGTATTACTATTACTATTAATAGTTCCATTACTGATCTGAAATCACACAAAGAACTTAAAATCTTAGTAGTATTTTTTACTGTAAAAAAACACAGACATGCAAAAGACAGAACCGCACAGGGATAAACCTGCAGGCCTGACAACAGCAGGTGTATCACTCCTACTTAGTGACAGTGTTTACATTGCAAATGTGCCTTTGTGACATTCATTAGTGCCCTCACTGACACACAAAACAAAACGACTACACAACAGAACAACTACACAAGACATGTTATAATTTGACGGTGACTTGCGACTAACCCTAACCCTACCCCCACCCATAACCATAACCTTACGAAGCATTCCGGATGGGTGAGAGAAAAAGAAGTTAATTCAGCGTTGGTGTTGTGCGCATGCGCCGCTTCTGCGCAGAAACATTGGGTAGGATGTTTTTTCAGGTAGGATGGATTCCCAGAACACCGTTACCGTCACTCCCCAATAAAAAACAAAAAAAACAAAGTTTTTTTAATATGCAAGTCATTATGGGAGTTTATTTAAAAAAATACAAAGCTTTATTTCTGTAAAAAAACAAAAATAATCGCAAATTAGCAGCTGTTTGTGCAGTAGTGGTCACTGTGGAGCACCCGTGCCTCTCTTGCGCCTGTCGTAGCCATGGTGCTGAATCAACAGTCCACATGTGATAAAGACTCATTTTGACCACGTGGAAATGAGTAAATTACAAACAAATACTTGTTTACACACAAACACAGGACACACACACCAGGGGAAACCTCACAGATACCTGGGTGCCTGCCTCCCCTTCTGTTGCTCCTCTTGCCTGATAGCCCAAACTCAAAGTGCCCCCCCCCCCTTTCATCTCATGACATCACCGCGGACAATCTCTGGCCTGCACACCTCAAACATGTCTGGGACGTTCCAATAATATTGAGCTGTGACCGATCCAAGACCAAAGATGTGAGTCTGCCTGAATTATTCATAAAACACATCACAGCAGTGATTCTGTGGGAGCTCAGTTTAACACAACACTGCTGCTTCCACATGTCCTTGCAACATTTAGTTGTGGCATACTTGGAGTGAGTAACATGTGCTTTTGATAGATTTTTCTTTGACTTTTAGGACTTTACGCTGAAACAGTCTGGACAGGTGAATAACAGTGCTGATGGGGAAAATACATGAATTTGGGGCTTGAACTGTCCCTTTAACTTAGGAAGCCGAGCTCCGGCACTTTGAGCGAGCTCCAGCTCCATGTCTCTGCCAGCCATACGTTGTTAGTAACTCATTAAAGGCTCTCTCTGTCTCAGAGCTCCCACTGTGAACTCTGCTGCCTGGTCACGCCCATAAATGTCTGTGTATGTTGCGTGTGCGCGTGTGTGTTTGGGCTCCCATGTCGGATACAGTTCAGCTTGGCCGAACACCAAAGTGACAGAGAAACTTTGACCCTCTTTCGGTTCGCTACAAACAGCCCTTTTCTTTCCCCTCAGTTTCCCTCTGTCCTCTCATTTTCCTTTCCTCTGCTCGCCATCGTTCTCTCCCTTCCCAGTCACACAATAAAGTCTAGTGTTGTGAGTCGGGGCCTGGAGAGTATTCTGGAAAAAAGTACATCAGCAGTACCACATACTCTCCTCGTTTACACCGTGCTGGGTCTGAAGCTCGTGTGATTGAGTCCCTGTGTTGCTGTGCTTTCTCTCCCTGCAGGTCTCTCCTCCTCTTTGAGCAACCCTTCAATCCAGGCTTCCCTCAACAACTGTCAGCTGCAGTCTTCGCTCAGCAATCCCTCCATCAACTCGTCCCTGCGCCTGTCCAGCAACTCCCCCCGGCGAAGGCCAGCTCCCATCAGCCCCCTCACCCTGTCTCCTGGGGCCGAGCAGCGCAGGGGTCTGGCCAAGCAGCTGTCTCCGACCATGTCGCCCTCGCTGTCCCCCATCACGCAGGTACACTCACCTCACACACAGGTTTCCCCTGATGAGAGGGAAACACCAGAAAAAGGAGTTATTTCACTGTGTGAACGACTGCTGTCACAAAGAAGGATCCAAAATTCAACGTACGCATAACAAAGCAAAGCATTTCCTCCAAGTTACTCATTTACATCGCAGAAAACACGCTGGTGTCATTGTTCAGAGTAATGAAGTAATGACACTACAGTCAGACTGAATTAGCTTCAGGTCTTTATTGGACTTTAGTGACTCCTGCTGGGTTTCTCTGTTGTGGATAGGGAGTTGCTTTGGATACCAGCAATATGCCAAGGGAGCCTCCGCCGCCCTATCCGCTCTACCAACAACCCCAGCATGTAGTGGACCAGGGCCGCCAACGCCAGCAGCAGCAGCAGCAGCCCGTCTCTCCGCTTCAGAGCATTCCACTAGACTTCAACACGAGCCAAGTGAGTGAAGAGCGTCTTTGTCTGTCTGTGTGTGTCTGTGTGTGTGCAGAATGGTTAGCATGCACACGCGGGGACACACAGTCATGTCACTAAACAACAGTGTTTGCAGCGTATTATTGATTTTCATACATTTTTGCTTCAGCATTTGAACTGTAACAGACAAGGCTGAGCCTTTATATCTTATTATGGAGTCTGAACAACAAACAAGCCAGTGCAACACTGAGGCTGTAGTTGGATTTGTCAGTCAGCACTTCATATGCGATCATTTTTATGCAGATGTGTTCAGAAGCAGACACACAAAGCCTCCTTTAGTTTCATTCTGTTTTAGCTTTTTGTCCTTTCCTGTGGTTACGGTTAAAGTGACTGAAGCAACATTATATGTAATAATAATAAAGTCTGATATGTTTTGGCAGCACACGTCATCACGAATGAAATGAACTGATTTCCTTCTCATTGTAATGTTTTCTCCCTGATAGCCCAACAATTTGGCAGCTCTCTTCAGCGACCCGTTCATGGAGCCGCAGTTCTGTAATCGCCAGAACAAGATGGTCCCCTATCAGGTGACCACTGTTAAACCTGCAGATGTGCTATGAGAACCTCGAGTGTTTGGTTATTGACACACAGATTCCAGTGTCTGTAATTGTTAAAAGATTGAAATATCTTCTGGGAACATTTTTCCTAAACAAAATCCTGCAGACTGTATGTGTGAAACCTCAAACAAAGATCAAACCAACAGTAAAGTGAGTGCAGTGTTGACAGGACAGATCAGGAGGATGTGACGTTTTTCTTGTGCTGAGAAAACGTGCTACATGGTACAGTCTGCCAGGGTGAATGTGACACCATCTCAGCTCCTTGATTCTTTCTGTTTTTCTCTCCACCTTCTGCCTGCTAGTTGGATCAGTTCGGTCTGTTGGAAAACACAATGAGCTCCACAGCAGGGGGGTCTTGCTTCGATCCGTCGTCCGCCTCCCTCTATTACTCGCAGGCTGCTCAGTCAGGGATGGGTGGCAGCCACAGCAGCCTGCAGGACCAGATGCACATGAGGTCCAATATGTTGTACTCAAACTGCAGCGGAGGACTGCCCAACATCATACTGACTGGTGAGTCTGACGGGGAGAGAGCCGCTGTCATGTCTGGATTAAAAAAAATAAACATGCGAGTATGTAAAACAAACCGAACAGTCAGTGTTTTCCTGACACGCTGGACTGTTTGGATATCCTGGTGCAGGAATCTGAGCCAGTTACACAGCCCTGTTTTTGTCACCCTTACTGTTTGCTATGATGTCACATTGTTATTAGTCTTACTTTTGTTGCTGTTGCTGTTAGTTTGAGTTAACAGCAGTCAGTGACTTTGGCACAGGGAGTCCTCACCAGGCTGCCTGCTGTTCGATTGGATGCGGTGCCACATTTTGGTGCTACTGTTTTCAAACAAAGTCAACATCTGGCTCATTCACGTTAGCAGAGCTAGCTTCGTCTGTCAGGACGGTCCAGCTGAGAGCTCCTCTGCTGGTCACAAGTTGTTTTACTGCACCTCCCGTTTTCCATCTGTCTTTACTGCTTTCGGTGGATCACGGAGCCCCTCCCATCTGTTAACCTGTCTCTGGCTTGCTAACATGAGCCACTGGCCTGTGCAGTTATGGGTGTTAGAAATCACCTGTTTCACAGGATGTTGTGTATTATGATGTTTGCCGTGTTGCAGAGAGCTGGTGGATGTTGAGCTAATGCGGCGCAGCCTCAGACAGCTGCAGTGATTGTGCTGAACTGCAGTGACATTAGTAAATGTCACGCAGCGGCGACCTCGAATTTTCAATGTTCATTGAAAGCAAAGAATAGGAGAGCGCCGTGCTGACGTTTCTCACTGAAGGGAGATGAACTCACTTTCATGTACGTGACTTTTACCTGTGCTGCTCTTGTGCTTTTTTTTAAATTTCTTTTTGGTCTAAGAAGCAAAAAGATCATTGGGCGTTACCTGCTTCTCTCTCTCAGATGACTCCAACCCCAGTCTGTCCAAGGACATCAGCAGTGCGCTCTCCACGGTGCCCGAATGTTTTGACTCAGAGGTAGGCTTCCCGTTGGAGGACGAGCTGCGCATCGAGCCCCTCAGCCTGGACGGACTGAGCATGCTCAGTGATCCCGACATGGTGCTGCCGGACCCGTCTGTGGAGGATACTTTCCGCAGTGACAGACTCTGAATGTGAAGAGCACCACATGTCTAAAGAAACACACTCACACACACACACACAGATTTGCAGTGTATAGTGTACAAATCTGAATCTGCATGCAAACAATCCATGTAGGGCCACTGTGCATGCATCCACTGCCACTAAGATTCATGAAATGTGAAACACGCCCACACGGTCATGCCCACTTCGGAAGAAGGAGACTTGTGAACAGACACTGTTTATGCCTGCTCTGAGCAACGTTCCCCTCATGCACGCTTGAGCCCCCCCGCCCTAACACACACACACACACACACACACACACACACACACACACACACACACACACACACACACAGCCCCTCCCGTCTCCACACTCAAAACCTCGAGGACGTCCGACAGGAGCTCGAGTGCTCCCGTCCTTTCACTCATCACCAGCTCACAACACCCTACCCCCACCCCACTCTGCGCCAATCACCATGGTTACGCACCATAGCAACCCCGCCGCTGCTCCAAAAGGCGACGCGAACGCCAGCACGCAATTTACGTTTCTTCAAACGTACGAGTGGAGCTGCGATGAAGTCGAACACCTGCACGACTTTGTTCTGCAGTGAAGTCAGCCGTGGCTGCTTGAACAACAGAAGTGCAGCTCACAGGGATTTGAGCGTCAGATGATTTTGAGATGTTTGCCACAGATTTGTGAATACACGCTTACACACTCGTATACAAGCCTCAGCATCAGTGTGACTAGAATGTATTTACCCACTCGACAAAAAGGGCAAACTGTTTACAAAGAGGACATTTTGATATTGCTACTAAAAAGTTTAGATTTGTGAATTTTCTATCGGAGAAGTCAGATTCTGAGACGTTTTGTTTATTTGCATTTTTGATGGATCTTTCCTGCGTCACACGTGAGCGGCCTGGCACTTCTGTCTGGCACAGCTCGCACAGCTCTGGGCCGAATCCGCTTCAAAGGAACCTGACACATTTTTGCTCATGTGTACGTTCACTGCATATGATTTTATTTTACATTTTGTACCGACTTGTAATGGCGCTTTTTTAAAAAAAGACAAGAAAAAGGGGCGGGGCATGCGCTGTGCTACTGGGTTAATTATGTGTTTGTCTTCTGTAGCAGTACATAGCTCCCCTCCCTCCACCAGCACTCTGTGGCTGAAGCTGCTGAGTCGTTCAGGGGGCTCTCGATCACGTGGACTCCGGACATGGTGTAACGTTGCATTTAACCTCTTTTGCACTAATTGATTCTCATTGTGTAGATTCTTTGTTTAAACCTGCAAACCCAAAGAAACAGAATAAAGCCATCACTGAAGACTTTCTATAGCACACATGCAGTTGTTGCAGAAAAGCAACACAAGTTTAAGTTTGATGCGAGATGAGTTTTTGTTTCCTGGGTGAAAAGTTTTTCAGATTTGCAGACGATTATGTAATGAATCAAAGTCATTCGGTGCCCTCTAGTGTTTGTTGTAGTCAAATCGAAGGCTGTCGTTTGCTGCCTGCTCGTTTACCTATGCAACTTTTCAAAGAGTTTCAGAAACCTGTAGAACAGGTGCAACTTGGACTTTATGCAGTGTAACAAGGCTCGCCGGTTGAGTCGATGGGCGGGCTCGAGTTTCCTACAAATTGCGATATTACATCCGTCCGGCGTCCACGGTGCGTGCCGACTCTCGTGAGAGTTTACAGTGATTGATGCAAAGGAACCTGGAGGTGTCCTGCACTGTGTGGACTGTGGCTTCTGTCTGTGTGTCAAAGAGATTCAGTGTCATTATATTTGTCAAAATGAAAATGAAGGGGGGGTGCTGGGGTTACACTGAGGTTGTTTTCTAAAGAGTTTATATTCAGCTACTTGCTTTCTCTTGTTAACTCTGTAAAGACGGTGAGTGAAGGAACCACACAGCAGTTTCTCCTCTCTTCGCTCTGATCCTCCCCGCGTCCCAGCCTGTTTCCTGCTGCCTTACGTCCTTCCTCCCGCGTCAGCTGACTTTAGCTTTAGCTCTGTTTGGTACTGACTGCCTGTGGTTCTTTTCCATCACTATTTAATTCGTTTCTTTTTGGTGTCTTACTTTTTTCTGTTTTTTTGTTTTTTGTTTTTTAGTTGCGTATGAAAATGTACAGTTCTGTTATTTAAAGAATGTTTTTTGTCCACTAGTGTTACTATTTTTTTGTAATGTCATTTGAGTTTTTGTTTTTCCCTAAGATATAAAATTTTATTGGTTTGTATCATACGTTATAGTGCTTTTCTTTCTGATTTAATATAAACAATAAAACTCTATACTGTGCATTAAGTTTAAATGTTGTCCTGGCGTTTCTGCTCCTGCCACCAGATGGCAGCAGTGTGGTGTACCTCACACTTACAGTCGAACACACGCTCGCTTGAAACCAATATAACTGTACTCTGTAAAGAGACAAGTCCCTTAAAGGGACGTCTGATTTGATTGGTTCCGATGTTTGTAAGCGCTGCACAAACTAACAGCATCACTGCAGGAAGCCTCTTTAAACCACAGCTAGTTCAGCTGATGAGCTCAACACGTGCAGTTTCCTTTGCCCTCATGTTTTCTGTAAGTGGTCTACAAACAACATTTGTTAGTGTCTGTCAGGATTCAAATGCAGATTATTTATTTACAAGTTTCCTCTATGCATTAATGTACACATCCCCACACACCATGATGTCAGAGGTCAGTGGAAAACTGTTTCACACTGATGGGAAGGGTAGCTCTGAATGTACAACATGTCAGCCCTTAGAGCAGATGTGCTGTTAGAAACAGTCCCCGGTGTGGTTGTTTCCTATCAGAACAGGGAGCTGAGGCTGCAATTTACATGGCATCGCCAAACATCGGAAGATAAATGGTTGGAAAAATGATCATCCACCTGATGTGTCTCAATTTGTGCTGCAACATCTGGATGATGAGGTCAGAATTTGATGTAAACAAATGAAAACACGACTCCTTCTTGTATCAGTGGATCAGGTGCTGTAACGGTGTGGAGGACATTGTCTTTACACACTTCGGGCTCCTTTTTACCAATTAAATCAATCAAACACCACAGCCTACATAAATACTATTCTCCTTTCATATCCATCCCTTCTGATAGCTGCTTCCTGCAGGATATTGTGCCATGCCACAAAAATTGAAATGCATCAAACTAGTTTCTTGTCCTTTTAGTTACATCTTAATCCAGTCGAACACACATCATGGATGTGCAAAAATCTGCAGCAACTGTGTGATGCTGTCGTGTCAGTAGTGATCCAAATCTCTGATGAATTTGCTGAAACTGTGCCACAGAGACTTGAGGCAGTTCTGAATGCAAAAGGTGATCCAACCTAGTACTGGTGTAGCTAATGATGTGGATGCTGGCATCAAATAAAACATGACCAAAGTTGCATATAATCTCAAGGATATCCTCACATTGAAAACACGCTCAGTTGTCTTTATGTTATGACGGTCAGCCACTGGAAAGAGCTTTAGGTTAAAGGAAGGACTGCTTGTTTCAAATGATGGCTAATTGCGCGACTGCACAAAGTCCTGGTATAAGATTTTTTTTAAAAAGATGATTTTGAACCGTGAATCATGCAAAGCTCCTCCTAGCAGAGCCCAAGAATAAAAACATGAAGCTGTGAATGAGCACAATAGCGTCACGTTACTCTCGAGTGTCTGATGACTACAGTACTCGATCGAGTGCCGGCACATAGACCTGTTCATGTGTATTTATTAGCACTGCTGCTCTGTGTTTATACGTTCAAGCTGAAGTCAGATGGTAACAATTTGATAATGTTTGTTCCTCTGTACCTGCCAGCAAAGGCAATAAACTGTGGGATTAAGTCGAAATCTAGTCTTCTCTCTGTCTAAGAACTCTAAATTTCAGCTGAAGCTATGAGAGAAAAAGCGTTTCCCAGAGTTTTAGTCATCTCAGTGTGTTCGCCTGCTTCGTGCTCATCCTCACAGCTGCCGTAAGAAGATGGTAATACTAATTGTTGACTCTGCAGTAAACACTATTTCAGATAAAATGTGACATTTGTTGCCCCGCGGGGGATAATTACAGTCCCTGGAACCACACATGCAAACAGTATAGACTTTACATAGCAGTGTGAGAGGACAGTGTGGGCCATGGAAATTAGCCAGGCTTCATATATCAAATGCAGTCTGGGAGTGAGTTCCCAAAACAACTACGCAC